TTGCTTGCCTACTTCCCCTTGAACAGTCGTAGTTGCTCCCTCTTTCCCATACGAGCTCCTAAGGGCAGTCGAGGGCTTGAGAGCGTCCCTCGAGGTCATCCTCGTAGAGAAGAGTTGATAGGGTTATAGCCTATCTAGCAATATCTCGAAACCTCCTGGCTCAGATTCGGTTTCTCTTCGGTGGATATTGTCTTTCTCTTCTTTGACTTCTGGCCTATGGTTTTCTTCTTTGCCGGATGAGTAGTAGCAGGCCGAGAAACTTTCTCGCGTCGCTCAATGGTTTGCTGTCTTTCAGCACCAATTTGTATCCCCCTTACAGGGATATCGTTGGAGGTCGCTCTAGCTAGTTTAGTTGGATTAATCCTAGGGAATGCGAACCCCCCATGCTTCTTCGTCGTCTTTGCGACCTTCAATGGCATAAAGATGTGTCAGTAAAGAAAGTCTTCTTTGTTAATAAAGACTTAAATTTTTTCTGTGTAAGAAATACTTACGAGCTGGACCATCCAAAGATGCGTCGGGACTGAAAAACCTGTACTTCCAAAGGTTGACAGTAGTCACGAGCAATATTGCGTCATGCTCTAGTTGAGCAATCGACCGAATACTTCGATACAGCTACGATCAACTAGCGTCGACAATCTGGTTGTTTTATTTCCTGCAAGAAAGCAAAAGATTCGTTAGCCTAATATATTAAGGAAAGGTTAAAGTTAAAAGATGAGCAATTTGGAAATTAGAAGGAAAACCTACTTAGCTCCTTAAATTTACAAACTCCATCGTACTCGAAGAAAAAATACTTGGTTTCATAAGCCCCAGTGTTGTTGGGGTGACCTCCCGCGATCATTGATCGCTTGGAGAGGTAGTAGGAATCTTTGTCTTTACTCTTCTTTAAGTAGTAGGTGTAGCCGAGTTCCTCTGCTATTGGTTCACCAAGGTTGTGTTCGCCAAATGCGATATACATAGCAACCGCTATCATACATGCATTTGGTGTTAGCTAGAACAGCGCGATCTAAAAGTGGTCAAGGATCGACCTGATGTTGAGGTGAAGGGGTATCCTCACTTCACATTTAAAGATCGCTTTCAAGATCGTAACCAATACCTCAAGAGGATCCTGAGCAATGTGCGACCTATGTTGGAACACGTTTACGTTGATCGCGTATTGGTCAATTGCTCTTTGGATTTTGTCCTTCGAAACTGTTGAATGTATCACCTTTCCGGGACCCGTCGAGGTGCCCAGTAGTTGTGAGCTTCCCTCATTGGCTGTTCTCGCCTTAGGGATGTCTATTGCTCTTGTGTAGTTCTCGAGACCCATGTCACGATCTACACTCATGTAACAACTGCTGTGAACTAGTAAAATGCTTGCATAATAATAATAGAAAATGGGCCCAAAACTTTTCTTTCTATTATATGTAATAAGTCTTTTTTACACAAAGAGTATTATTTTACAAAATGCCGTTTACAAAAAACAAAAACAGGGGAAATAGTGTAGCTATTGCTCCTCGCTTGCCGACGCCCCTCCGACTGCATCATCACCTAGATCCTGCATCCACAAAGGAAAATGACGGGGTGAGCACAAAAATAATGCTCAGTAAGTAAACCCTCTATTTGTCTATCCCCGTAACTATTTTTCTTAATTCCTTCCTCACACTTTCTTTCTATTGTTTTCTACTAACGTTATGGCCTCATCTTACCGGGGGTACGGTCGGATGGCGTTCACACAACACCATCTCACTCTTCATGACTGTCGGGTGGAGTTCACACAGCACCAACCCGCTCTTAGTGACTACCGAGTGGGGATCACAAAGTATCTACCCGGTTTTCATAACTATCAGGTGGAGACCACAAAGCACCTACCTGTTTCTCATGACTTTTGGGTGATGATCACAAAGCATCAACCCGTTTCTAATAACTATCGGGTGACGATCACAAAGCATCAACCCGTTTCTAATGACTACCGGGTGATGATCACAAAGCATCAACCCGTTTCTGATAACTATCGGGTGACGATCACAAAGCATCAACCCGTTTCTAATAACTTTCTCTACTCTAGCACTTCTCATTCTCTCTATTCGTAGAGTAGTTGCATTCACAAAGTTCTCTACTCATAAAGTAAGTGCATACAGAAAGTTTTCTACTCTTCTTAAGTCACTTCTCAATGCACAAATAATGCATATGGATGGTTCATCTCCACTAATGCACTTATGAAATGCCAACATGCAATGTTGCAAGAATTAAGGTTCACTACTCATACTCAAACCTCTATTAGACATTTCATCAAACAACTCAAGTGCATAACAAGACCCTACTATAACAATAATTCTATGTCTTTCTCTAACCATCCAAAATGGGAGAAAACTCCCTCACATAGCCATAAATCCTGCCATAGAATAACGCTGCCAAAAAGGATTTCTCAATATCCTTCAATTCCATCTCAAACTACATTCCCAACCCATATCTCACTTCTTATAATTGAAGTGTATGAACAACCATAAAGCAATAATTATCTCCATTTAAATCTTAATAACATAGCATATCACATGTATATACATACACACATAATTGCTATTAACTCTCTATTCAAGAAAGTTCTCAAATCTCTACTTGGGTTGGGGTTTACTTACCTTGTGATGGAGAGATCTCACTAGCTCTTCCTTTCTCTTGGTTTGCTTGATTTTTCTCTACCCTTAGGATGCCTTAGATTGATTTTCTACCCCAAATCACTCCAAAAGCCCTCTAAAAATCCTTAAACAATTGAAAGAGAAATTGAGAGGAAGTAAAAAGGAGAGTGGCGGTGGAGAAGAAGAATGAAGGGTTTGCAATGACTTAATTCCTTTTAATACAATTTATGCACAAGCATTCCCATTTTGCCCTTACTCTTCCTTGGGAATTCCATCTATACCCTTTGATTCATTACAAACACATCCCCATATTAACATATTCTCCAAGCAAATTCCTTACATTTTACTCCCCACTTTTCCTACTAATTCGGGGTAGAATGGTCAAATTGCCCTTAGGGAAGAAAATATCTAAAACTTAACAAACATTTTGGTCGGCCCGTCGCCACGGCGAAACTGTCCAGCAGCTTCCCCGTGGGCTTCAACACCTCTTCGCCGCGGCGAAGATTCTTCTTCGCCCTGGCGAAGCCTGGAACACTAAACTTCTTCTATTTTCAACCAATTCAAGGCAAGTATTCAACATACCACTCAATCAAAGGCCAACCAAACAATAATACTAATAAACCGACTCAAATAAGAGCAAAAGAAGAAACATTAGCTACGTACCTCAAGTGGGGCGTTACAACTCAGTTCATTGATCGAGTTAGTCATGTCATTTGTAACAATGTGGTTGTTCTCAACTGCTAGTTTGGGCAAACACTCCTTGAGACAAGTTGGGTCGCGGCATAATCATAAAGTTCTCAAGATTCAATCTTTGAACCTTAAGAACTGGGGAGCTTCTATTATGCTTAAAAAATCAGGCCTAACGTTAGCCTATGTCAGAGAGCAGTAATCAGAGTTCAGGAAGGCTTTGCACCGTCTAGGAGTTGCCACGTTGCTCCATGACAGAAAAAATATTTGTATCACCAACTTAGCAGATTAAGGTTTTGTCCATGAGTGACTAAGGACTGCACACATGTCCAAGCCCCAGATATTTTGAGGATATTTCCTAAGTTATTAGCCAATGAGAGGTAATGAAGGACTTGCACGACATCTACCCACTTGTATATTTGTAATCATTACCTTGAATTCCTCAACTATAAATAGAGGACTCCCCCTCTCATTTTCGGGATTCTGATACTGAACCCTCATTCTGATTGTAATCTTTATTTTCAGAGTAAAGATAACCTATGGGAAAGAGATTGACTTGATAGTCTCTCTGAATACTTAGTTATTGTACCTTTGTTCGTTGTTCGCTATATGCGACCTCTTGTAATCTCTAATATATAAAAGAAACAGTGGACGTAGGATTTGCTTTAAGCATCCGAACCAGTTTAAAAATCATATCTTTCATTTATTATTCAGTGGTTGTATCTGATTATAATAGTTCACGTGTAATTTTTAAGAATACCTTAGCATTTTACATGTGCAAGTCGTTGGTGTCAAAATCACGTATTAACAAAGAAAAAAAAATTATGATTTTTTTGTTCCAAAAACATTTTATCAAAGTAGGATTAATTAGAGATATAAGGAATGACCTCTTTCTAAGCTCCAACATTTATTAGAAAAAATCTAATTTAATTTAAAATTACCCTTCTCCTAATTCTCACGACATATCAAACAATTAGAAAGTAATTACTTTTAAAAAAAATAAAGTTAAACAAATTTATGATTTTGGAAGGTATGAAAACTCGTAAAACCAAACTAAGGCATTCGAAAGGAATATGAAAAGCTACATTGGATTATTTTAATATACTAACTAGAATTTTATGTTTCAATTTTTAAACGCTAAAAACACTGTAAAAGTTTTCTTCTATAAATTGTTCTTTTTAGTAATTTCTGATATATAATTTTTTTTAAAATATTAACACTTAAAAACAGTTTATGTGAGACTGAAATAGTACCCCATACTTTTTATCATGCTGAAATTGACCCTCCTGAGAGACTGGTAATTAAAAGGGACACATCCCTTTTAGAAAGCTAAAAAACACCCCGTCATAAAATATGGCAACTTTCTCAAAAATGGGTGCCGTTTGCGATTTCTAATCTCTGAAGACGGTGGGGCCACATTTCAATAACTCGTTTTTAATAGTTATACTAAGAATTATAACTTCAAATAAGCAGGTGTCGTGGTGTAGTTGGTTATCACGTCAGTCTAACACACTGAAGGTCTCCGGTTCGAGTCCGGGCGACGCCACAATAAAAAGGTTTTTTTTTTTTTTCTTTTAAAATGTCAAAAGAAGCGTAAGAAAAGGGTTGGAAATTTGCAATATAGAGAAGAACCAGAATATGTATATCAAATAACAAGAGAAAAGTTAGATTAAAAGATAAATATATCATGTAATAGATCAATTTTTAAATTTCTAATTTCTTTGCATTCATACAATGGGAAGACATCCCGTGTAAACCAGATACAACTAAACTTCATGTCCAAGGAGACAAACTATGCATGTACACAAGTTAGAGCATCCATCCCAAACAATAAACAAATGAATATGTAATTAAAAAGGTAAAGAACAAAAGAACCAGAGTGTAATATAAAGATAAACAACATGCAAGTACAGAAAGGTGGAAAACTGTCATTAGTTCCCACAGTTCCATTTTGAGGTAGGTACACAACTTAGGTAATGGCACCATCTGCAGCGATCGTTTCCATTCTCTCCACGAAATAGCATCACCAATCCCACCGTGAATCTGCAATTTTTATGACATAAAACTTATCTTAGCTTCTTTCCGAATGACTATCTTTGCTTTAACTAGTATGTGTACAAAAAGAATGAAGGTTTGAACTTACCCGATAATTAGTAAAACCAAGGCGACAATCCAGAAAACATATTGGTAAACCTTATGCCTAGATTTCACACGAGCATGAGCAGGAAGATGCTGGCGCTCTGCCCAACCAAACTGAGGACGAAGTAACAAAACAAACCCCAGGAGGAACCCAGATAAGAAACCTCCAATATGTGCAAAATTGTCAACGTGAGGAAGAATTCCGACGGCTAAGTTGATGGCGATAATGACCACAAGAGTCAATAGAGCTGCAGCCTACAAGAAATGAAAAGCAAGATATATTAGTCATAATAACCCTCACAACTTTTTTAGTTTACTTTTCTGTCCAGAGTCCCAGTTGTTGGTTATGTATTCAACACCCAAACAATCAACACTATACCAAATTGGCAAAGTATTTTGTTTTCTCCCCAATTTGGAATTTTCATTTCAATTCCTTACTTTGTTAAGACCTAGATATATCTAGTCGGAAATCTTTTGGACTCAAACTAATTAAGTGCCAGTATATGAAAATGAACAAGGAAAAGAAAACGTTTTGTGCTTGATGCTTTTTCATTAAAGGGTAAACAAATTGGAAACTCTCTTCGCAATGAAAACATTCAAGAACTTAACCACTAAAACCAAGGGTTTTAACATACCTTATTAGTATAAATTGACCAATTAGTAAGAAGCTCAGATAACATGGCTCCAAGAAGTCCAAACAAAGCACCAGAAGCACCAACAGAGATATTGTGTTGAATAAAAAGCGACGACAGAATGCTCCCACCAAATCCTGATAATAAGTAGATGAGACCAACCCGCACTGCCGTCATATTTCCAAAATAATGTTAGAATATAGGAATATTGCAAAAAGCATTTTTATATTAAAATAAATTTAAAAAAAAAAAAAAAAGGCCATGAACAAAAATTTTCACGGCGGGCCAAGCCACCATGATTTAGGAGGTACCAACATAATTATTAGCTTAGCTATTAATACTTCCACTTTGTTATTATAGCATTTGAATGCAAAGAAATGGTTATGAGATAGTAGTCCCAGCAAAAAATGAAAAAACAGTGTCATAGCTTCTGTGTTTATTATCCTGGAAAGTTGACCTAACATATGCAATTTTAAATTTTACAACAAATGCAAACTGAATGCCATGCAAAGAGTGAAGACGCAAGGACAAGTCAAGCCATTCTTGAACAAGTAAGCCGGCAGGTAAGTCAACCTCTTAGCCACATTATTACTTATTTCAGTTTTACAACTAAATTTAGAATTTCATCCACAAGAAAGAAGGTGACATACAGAATCCAAACTGCTGTTCAAGGCGAATCCCAATGAAGACCAAGCTCAACATATTTGCCAGCAAATGAATAACACCGGCATGTAACCAGATACAGGTGATTAGTCGCCATCCTTGATGTCCATGCACTACCTTAGTCCACTCCAGGCCTCCCATTTTTAATAATCTGCATAAATAAGGAGAGAAAGCAAATTAAATTAATTGAGACTATAGTTCCTGGTTAAGAATTTGGTTGTGAATAAGTAACATGGTTGAGTGAGGAAGGGAAGTGGGGGAGATTGAAAAGCATGAAAGAGTAACTTAAGCTTCCACATTTGAGCCACTCAATTCAAATAGACAAATGAAACTATTTTGCATTAATTGAAACGACAAATTGAAAGAACCATGTTGAAGGTCTCCCAACATTTCCCTCCAGTACAAAGAGCAGCATGGTTATTACTAATTACTACAAAGGAATCTACATTTATATTATGTCAAGTCTGAACGATACATCTAGTGAGATATAGCAACCTAGATACAGTTACATCTCTGATCTACTCAGTTAATGATGCACCAAACACATAAATAACAGGATAACAGGATGACCTCCTAGTCTACAAACCTCTCATGCCTCACCAGAAAATCCATAAAACTAAGAGGGAAAGCTAGCAGTTTGGTGAAAATCATCATCTTGTATTCAGGAAGCAATATAAACAATTCATTATCTTTGATAGTAGAGCTCAATCTTCACATGGATAATTGATGGGTAAGATAAATCATCCAAAAATGTCAGCCCACCTTACTTCATTTAGATAGGGATTTAGAGGAGCTCAGGCAAGAAAATTTTCCTAATACTAGAAGATTTTAATTGCCTGGCAATATGAAAATAAAAGAGCACCTAAAAATACGCCTCATGAAGCTATTTTGTCTCCCACCAAATCTCCACAAAAATATTTTTCCAATCAAAAGATAATAAGAACATGAAACTTAAAAACAACATTTTGTAAGAGAAAATAAATCAAATGAAAAAGGACTATTTCAACCAAGATCTTAACTTAAACATCTTACCTCGCGCTAGGATCAACACCGGAAAACTAAAGAATCCAAAAGCTAAAGAAAAAACAGTATCACAGTCATAAAACAAAATCAAAACAATAAACCAATTAGACCAAAAACACTAATATTCAAAATTTAGAATCTCAGACTACTTTCAAAGAAAAAAAATATGCATGTATAAACTTTACTCGCAATCTGAAACTCATAATTAATGTATAAATCCAAACTATCAAGAAACCGAACCAAACCCACATCTAAAACACCAATTAATTCACATAAAAAAGCAAAACTAAGACCAAGAATCAAGAACTTAGTGAAAGAAGGAGAACTCACGTAGTAGAAGAAGGACCAAAGAGAGGATTTTCTTTAAGGGGCTCAAAGGATAGCCTGCGGAGAAACTTAGCAACACAAGAACCATCCGCATGCTTGGGACAATTGTTGACATACATGGTTACAATGAACACAGCAACATTAGCCAACACAAACATGGGGATCAACCAAGAAGTCCATTGATGATCATTGGAGTCAACATAATAAGAAGCAGAATTATAGGCGTTGGTTCTATGTTTTCCCCGTTCAAGATCTTCGTTTGCCATTGCTGTTACAAAAGAGCTCTGGTTTTGCTTCGGTGGTGTGGTTGTTGTTTATATTTGTACAAAGATTGCAGAAAGAGAGATTGTGAAGTGTCTTGTAAGGGAGTTTTCAATGGCCGAACAACACGTTCTTGTCTTATAGTTTTCGTTTGTTTTGTGTCAGAAAGAGAGAGGAAGATTGCTCTCTAGTGCAGGCTAGATTTAACCGTTGAAACTGGTACTTTGTTTCTCTTTTACTATTATTATTGGTTTTGCGGTGGAATGGAAGGGGAGGAGACTCCTTGTGTTATTATTTATTTACCCCTCTGTATTAATTAATTAGTTTTTTGTAATTTTTTAATGTATTACTGAGGATCAAACTTAACAATCGTGTTTCTGTTAATCTATCTAAAAAAAGGAGTTTGGTCCACACGGAAATAAAATACATTCTGAGGAGGAGGATGAAACTTGAAAGAGGCATTTCCCAATAAGGGCATCCATTCAAGGTGAGGGGTTACTTTGGTAATTTCATAATCAAAATAATTTAAATAAAAACGCGTAGTAGGTGGAGGTGTCAAATTGTATGAGTTGGCAGTTGTAGTTTGTTGTTTAAATTGCTTACTTCTAAGCTACTCTCTCTTTTACTGCCATCTGGCACCAATTTAATATCTCTTTTATTTTTATTCATAAAATTAGGAGTTGGTAATATAAGAGTAGAAAGAATTCCGTTGATAAGAAAAGTTCACCAAATAATATTCTCCTCCTTTTACACAACCCTATTTATTGAGACTACAGAAGAAATAAAAAGAATAGTACTATACATACATCATTCTCATACAATATTTCTCATACAACATTATGTGGCAAGATGTGATTGGGTGAAAGTTTAATTTTAACTTTAAATTAATTAATCATATCTTGCCACATAATGTTGTATGAGAAATGTTGTATGAAAATGATGTATGTGTAGTATTACTCAAATAAAAATCTCTTCTTGCTAAACAGAAAAATAACACTTCCTTTTACGCAAAAAAACAAGTTCTTGTTTAAAGAATAGTGTTGTTACTTAGAATTGTTTGATTGTTATTAGAGGAAGCTAAGAGGATGTCTTGAAATACTAGGATTGGTGGGTTTGTTGATTTGGATTTATAATTTTCAAATTGATGGGTAATGGATGTGCAAAAGAAGTGGTTATTGAAGTTCAATTGAATCAATGGAGTCGTAGATCAGGAATTTACAGACGAATCTGATTTAGTTGCTAAAGTCCTTGAGTGAAAGCTCAATCAAGCTTCTCAATTCTCATTGCGCATGCCACAAAATTAAAATTAAATACATCATCTTATGCAATCAATTCACTAATAAAATACCATTCCTCCCCATGAACCATACGGTTCTACAACTTGATTCTTATCACTTAATGTAACCTTTCCATCAAGGCTTCACAATTAAATTTAACAGAGTAAAATGTGCTAATCAAATAACAAATGGTGACCTGAGGGAGAAACCGTTATTCAGTGATTTCTGGGAAAATTGTATACTGTCAAACTATAAGCTAGCAGATGTGATAAATCAGAAGACCAAAACATATCAAACACCATCCATCAAGATATACTCAAAAAGTAACAAATGATGCATTAGAAAACTTCAATTTAAGTAAATAGTAAACCAATATAACTCCCAACAAAAATCATAACAAAAAGAATAAAAAGATCTGGCCATAATGATTAATGGATCCATAAATGAAATAAGGAAACAAAATCTTAACTGTTTATACTACTAAGGAAGAAGAGAAGAGAGGAAGTAAATCATCGCTTTCCACCACCACCACCAAGCTTGGGGCCCTTAGGCATAGCCCCCTTAGGCATGCTACTCTTACTCTTCTGTGTCTTAGCCATCAACTCTGCTTTCTTCGCCTTCTTTTCATCCTTAGTCTTCTTGATCCTCTCCTTAATTTCACTAATAATCATAAAACATATTCAGAGTTTGCAAAGCTAGCAAAACAAAGAATTTTATTCTCAATACCCATACCAGGGAAAACATCACAAATGGACATTAAGCACATACCGAAGTGCAGCCTCCCTTGCAGCATCTCGGACTTCTGGCTTCTCAGTCCTCTTCTTCTGTATAACTTCCAAGGTGGCACCAACAATAGACCTAGAATACGGTTTCTTGGTGGATCGGCGCTTCTTCTTCACGGCCTCAGCAGCAATGTCCTATGAATAGCAAATAAAAAATATAAACAACTGAACTCTAGTGTAACTAGTGATAAATTAGGAGATCAAGATTTTACGAGAATTTTATTTTCCTGTACATATGACAAAGGGCATTTCCAGAAAAGAAAGTACCTTCTTATGTTGTTTCCTGTACATGGCCGTCCATGTAAGCTTTGACGGCTTCAAACGGTTGTGGAAGTACCTCTTGCATTTTGAGTTGGCAAAGAGGAAAACCTACATCAATAACAAAGAGGGCATCACTTGTCTGAATAATCTATTTGTGGTCTATACATATAACATAAATATGACAAAATTTCCCATTAACATAATCTATTAATCAGCTATTTGCACACTTAATCAAATTCTACAACATGACAGAAACATGCAAAAAGAATCACCAGAGGGATGCCTACAAAAATTTGCTCCAAGATTAGTCAACAAATCACAATAAAATATAACAGCCCGATAGCAAAAATACCTGAGAATCAGAGCGAACAAATCTGATACCCTTACCAGGGTATATCTTGGCACCACTGAATCGGCAGAGCTCAGTCCTGATACAGCAAATAAGTAAAACAGAATTTTAGAATTTGCAAGAGAAGCAACAACCACATAACATATAATTAAATTTTATGTTATTATCTCGGCACATTAGTGATATTCCAAATAGTTAAATAACAGTTTCTTTTTTCCTGAACAAAATACTTTGCGGATTTTAACGTAGTATTTTGAGATCCCAGTTCTATCGTGTTATGGATGTAAATGACTTGAATCAGATATAAATAAAATTACATAAAAGTTACAATGGAAAATTGCAGAGAAGCAGAATGAGCACAAGAAATGATAGATGAAAGAAAGAGAGAGACGTACTTGAGAACCATGGTTGCTGATGTTGGTCGCGCGGCTTAACTTCCTCTCTAAAATCTCAGAAACCCTAGCCGACAAGCTGCCAAGCACCCAATATGACCGTGGCTTCAAAGAGGTTAAGGTCTTACTGAGGTAACGACGTCGTATATAGAAGTGCTATTGTTCCGGTGGGTGTAAAGATGGGTTCTTGGGCCCTATGAGAAATCTGCATAAGAATGGATCTATTTGGCCCACAATTCATCCAATGATCGCACTTTCTAACATTAGTCATATTTTATGCATGCTTGTTTGTTGTGGAATAGATATTTTATTTTGACCCAAAAAAAAAACTCCTTTTAATCCTTATTATTAATTTTTTTAAATAAATATATATTTTACATGAGTGTTATTATTTAAGTACTAATAAAATTATTTAAATTAAAATCATTAAAAATTTTAATTTTATAAATATCAAATAATTTATTCCATAATTAACCTTGATCTTAAAATGGTCATTGTGTTATATCTTCAAATTTTGAAACCTTCAAAATATGGATTAAGCAGATGGCAGTGGCACTATAAATCCATATGGTAAAAGCCAATAATATGCACTATGATCGGTAGTTGCAACTCAATTCAATAATAAAACCAAAATCTTTCCAAAAAAGAGAGATATTGGATATGGTTAAATGGTTGCTTTTGAAATTGGTTTTTGACATGTTGTTTATCTTTTTGGATCATGTTTATTTGGTTATGAATTTGATTTTGCTATTTTTTTTTTTTTTTGAAATTTCGATATTTTGATTTATTGCTATTTGTATTTTATTTTATACATTGTCTTGGTAATAGTTTTGATTGATATAATATATTATGACATATTTGTTGTAGATACAGTGAATAAAAGAATTAATAATAGTAATTTTTTTCATTATTACACATTTATATGTACTCATTGAATCGAATTTGCTAATATTAATTATGGTGGATATTGATTTCGATAATATTAATTTTTTTTTAACCTAATTACGTCTTGTCTTTGTGTGGATACCGATCGTGCATTTCTACGTTGGATTTGCTTATGAATTTGATTTTGACATTATGTTTCAAATTATATATTATCAAATATTTGTTGTAATGCTTAAGGAAATGTTCAATTAATAAGTAATACTTTATTTTAATTATATTTAAATTTTATCTAAAAAAGCAATATTTTATTGTGATTTTTTTTTTTTGATATTTTGAATTGAATAATTAATAATAGTAATTTTTTTTTTTCACATTTATATATACTCACAAGTTGAAAGGCCCGCACATTGTGCGGGTTGTTTATGAAAGTGGTTTTGACAGAAAATAAATAAATAAATTAATTAGAGAAAGAACATTTTAGTGATAGGAATATATTCAATTTTCAAAGCAAAGAAGAGGAGTTGCAACACTTTTCATAGAACAATTTGGGAAGCATTTCACCCAGATAAGATATTATGAACTTTAACTGCAGGTCAAGATTCATTCAAGCCAAAACCAAAATTAAACATATCCCAGCAAAATATTCTTGACTTTTGCATTGCATTTGCAAAACCATCATGCTACAATTTTCACATAAAAGAATACAAAACAATAGAATTTAAGTCTCATCATTAAGCTTAAATTCGTAGACAACTCCACAACAAAATATTATTCAGGAGAATCCCATTTAATATGTTTATATAATAAAAAGATCAAACCATAATAGATTGCAAATTTGCAATGATCAAAACAGGGCAAGACTACAAAAATTGCTTTACTCCAAATTTTGGTTTCACATAATCCTTATAATTCTCCTGTCATGTATTTCAGTTTGTTCTTAAGCAGGTAAGTAGTCCAAATTTTATAGTCACAGATTCACACCAACCAGCTTCTTCAGCATCATCTTTACAAGTATCATCTCTGTCAGTTGTAGTGAAAATCAACTGATCATTCTCTTTATTGAGTCATCAAAATTTTAAGCTATAACAAAGAATCTCATTGAAAACAAAGTGCCAAACCACACCACAACAATAACTTTCAATAACAATTGTCAAAATTCTGCATCCTTTCCAATTCAGACAAACAAATGAATTGGAAACAGCAAACATCAAACAATTTCAACAGACGAATACAGCAAATTATACCATTTTGGAACTTCTATTAACAAAAAATTCCGTATATTTCTCAAAATGTATATAAGCATATTGAAAAGATTATCACCCTTACAACGCAACTATATATTTATAGCATCAAAGAGAAAACAGAAAAGCTTACAGTATTAAAGATGAATTTAAACAAAAATCAAAACCCTTAAACTATACTCATTAGTTTGCACTCTAATCATCGCTGAGCCAATCTTCAATGTCATGCGCGCTCATTCTCATTGACGCTTGTCTTGCCCATTTCACGAACTTTTCTGCCTCTCGACTAACCTTTTCTTCCTCCTTCACTGCCTTCTTTAGCATCTTTTGCTCTTTCACTGAGAAAATACCCAAATCCGATAAGAACTCATCGTTTTTACTAATCATTGATCAATCTTCCTTGCTCTTTGGCTAGATAATTTTCTTAGGAGAACACCAAAAACAACCGAGGCGGAGAAGGCGAACCTCATGATGAATTTGTAGAACTGAATAGAGAAGAAAACGAATTCGATGAAAAGGGAGCTGACAGTTGGACAATGTCAAGATAGCATCAATGAATCTATTGAATCATAATTCAAGTCAACTCATATTAATAGGCAAGACCAAAATAGTCAAAGTACCAGTTTTTTCCACTTTAGGAACTCCAGGTTTTGGTGGTTTACAGGCATTATCTATTCCATCATCGTGATTTGGCTTTTCAAAATCAAATTTCAGTTTGCTCTTCTCTTCAATAGGCTCAATCTTCATCTCTTCCACTTCCTTATTGTTGTTTCCTTCTTCACAAACCTCCCTGCCTGTTCTTCGTCCTTGACCAAAGATTTTTACCCAAAAAAAGAAAAAAAAAACATTGATTATTAAATTACCAAAACTTGCAATCAGAATTAAAGAAAAAAAAAAAGCATTGATTATTAAATTACCAGAACCCGAATCAGAACTGATGGTAGATTGGTTGTTGAAATTGTTCGTTTGAAGCCCATCATCAGAAACCCCGGATATGCAAGTGGGGAACTGAAACTTCAAAAAGTTGAGGCTGGGAATAGAAGCCAAGCCAATAGAAGATGAATTCGAAACCTTGGAAAGTGAAGCATCCACCAAATCTCTACAACCCAGATTGATCCATTTGGGCTTCCACGCCCAGCCAACCAATATCCCAACAATCACAACAATCCACAAAGGTGCGATAAACATTATCAACTCTCTTAAAACATCACCCATGGTGGATTTGTTAAAAATCTCCCATAAAACCGAAGTCAAACCCATGTTATTTATTATATTTAATAAACCAAAAGATAAGAAATATACAAATAGGAAGAGAACCAGAAAACCCTCGATTGATATATATTCTCCAACCACATTTAATTGAGATGTTTTCTCCGATTTTGATGTAGATATTTTTTATTTTGGCGGTAGCTGCTTGCTTTCAAACTTAACAGCGGAACCAACGGGGTTTGAAGAATTATCAAACTCAACTTTCTTCTCCTTCTTGGCTGCATATGCCGTAGTTTAAGAAAAAAAGAAAACATAAACTCATGAGGGGTAGAAAAACAAAATATTTATATTGGATTAAAAGCTTGCGATTTGTTACCTTTCTTGTTCCGTGAGCCTGATCTGAATTTCTTTGACCTCTGTTCATGTTTTGTGAACTTTGATTTTTCTGATTTCATATATGTATGAGGATCCGCAAGCCCTCGATTTATGTGTTATTTATCCATTCTTACTTTTTTTATGCCAATGTTGGTGACTGGAGATAACTCTCTTCAATTATTCTTGGGATGGGAGGGCCAGTAGAGACGAAGGCTTTTGTCAATGGCCGTTGGAGTTGGCGGTGCTCGGACCTCCAATGAACCATGCTTGTGCCGTCTTCTGCATTTCTAGCAAGTATTGTGATTGTGAGATTGAGTGTCAGAGATGGATCTGATTGCTCTTCGTCGTCGTCATCTTCATCGGAGATCTGAGCGGCTTTTTTTTTTTTTTTTTTTTTTTGTTCAGTCTCTCTCTCATTTAGTTAAGATGCGGAGATGGAAAGGTCAAAAAAAAAAAAAAAAACAATTTATGTGAATGGTCTGTCTTTACAGAAATTAATGAAGTTTTAGTTAGACTATTGGATGTCAAATACGTGCTATTAGTAATTTAATACAATGTAACGAAATAAAACTTATCAAACCTTTTCGTATTCACCAACCCTTTAAATTCACATAACAATCAATAACGTTATCATTAATAACAAACAACATCAAACACCAATTACAATAAATTACGTACACTATCAAATCCAATTCATTAATTTATATCACATCATGACTAATAACATCTAACCAAATATCAAGAATCTAAATCAACACTAATCAAATATAACCAAATGTCAAACAATTTGATTAGGTGGCAAAATGAAAGAATTTTACCTCTTCAAATGGCAATGAATATATATATATATATATATATATATTTATTGTTAAACGACAGAACATTCATGAGTTTACAGCCCAGGGAGCCCATAAAAGAGAGTTATATTAAATAATGATACATACAATTATTTAGTAACAGCTTAATAGTTAATTAACTTCCATATCCACTGCTCAGTATGATCTTACATGCGGTTAAACAGAGCAACAAATTGATCAAAGTTTACACAATTTTTTTTCTTTGTTTCTCTTCCTTTATGATTCTTGAAAGAAAAGTCTTTTCACGAGGTATTTATGATTTTACAATTTTGTATTATATTGAATGAAAAATGTTATCCTTACAAAGACCCATACAAAAAGGGCTACAAAGTGACATCATCAAGAAGAAAAAACAAAGAAAAAACGGAAAGAGAGAGAGAGAGAGAGAGAGAGAGAAATCATGAAAATCAAGGGTTTGTCTTTGTATGCCCCCTTTGTATGTGTCTTTGTAAAACTAGCATTGCTCATATTGAATTATATCTTACATTGGCATTAGAGGATGATTTGAGGTTTTCATGTCAATATGTCACATGCTTTACGAATTATATGTATTGTATGTGATTTTCCCATCAAGCTCGAAGAGAATCAATTTGACTCAATCGGTTGTTTGACCCAACATAAGCTCGTCGAGATGTAGCTCGACCTAAAACAAGCTAGTCGCGACCAATACCTACAGTTGTTCAACCAGCTCACAGATAACTTTAGATCCCAGATATCTCGGAAGGGATCAGATCGACAGTAACTTTGGCGCAATCTCAGTGCTCAACCGCTAGAATATCAGAGTTGCATTTCAATCTTAATTGTAATCCCTTTATTTTCACTCTTTCCTTTATACAAAATCTGTATATAAACCCCCTCCAACAATGAGAAAGGGGTTAGCAAATTATTCCAGGATCATTATTGTAAGCTTTCATAGCAAATACAAAAAACAGTGGACGTAGGCTCAAGAGTTTAACTCGTCGAACCACTTTAAAAATTCTTTGTGCCATTTACTTAATTGTTCTTGATTCATTACATGTGGTTACCTATAATCATGCACACATAAGTTTCGATTCCGTCAAGGTCCATCGGATTGCTCTAGTTGGTGCAAAATCTTGTATCAACATTTTAGCGCTAGAAGGAGGCCTCCTGCCAAAATTTTAGAATTTCCGATAAACAATCCAGTGATCTGATCACTCAAGGCTTGCAATGGTTCGTACAAGATCAAAAACCACCACCAGAAACCACGACAACATGGAAACCAGCCACTAAGAGGTGCATCAAGACATTGTCGGGCCAGTGTAGCAGGCCACGAACTAGCAAAGGGCAGGGATGTTGAATCCTGAAAATGGCCAACTGGTGGAGATGATCAGAAAAATAGTTGCATAGGCAATGCAAAAAATGTGGCTAAATTGAGAAACTAGTAGCTAACCCCTTAAGACCTTGACTAACTGCACTTTATCGATGTTACCCTAACAGGTCAAAATTTAACAGGTGACTAATCTGGTTCGTCAGCACTAAGGAACGATCGACAATCCCAGCACCATCGGGCACGTTCTGCCCATGAACGAGAGTCCCGTAGGCAAACGAACCCTAAGAGGCGACCCAACAAACAGCCCATAGGAGAGGATGAAGATAATGGTCGCCAGAAGGATATTCGCCATGCTCAACGATATCCCCAACATCAGCATGCTAGTTTTAACCCATGCCAAAGGCAGACTAAGACCTCACAAGCCCGCGAGATGTGTCATGTGTACCAATCTGGCAATGATCGACGTTCTGGTTTTAACCAACGTTGCAAGCGACGCATTGATGAGTATGATAGCACCTACTAGCTTAGTTAGTAAATATGGGTACAACAGAAAAATGGTATGAAAATTTTATAGGTATGATACAACAAATGGTGAAAAATACGTTTGTAAAAATTCGGCTATGAAATTCAAATACGAGAAGAATACAGTATGGGTATATACGGGTTTAATACGACACATTGTCAATAATACATTTTGAAAATACGGTAATATCAATCCTAGTTATAGCACTTTTCATGGACCACTTGGTTAAAATCAATATAGCATTTCATTGTCTTCATTGTTTCTTGTTACACATTATTGGGTAGTGGGTATATCGTATACATAGCCTAACCAGTTCTAAAAAGCTAATACTTAAGTTTTATAAATTAAAAGTTTAAAACTTGTATAAACAAAAATTGTTATAACCATTTCATTTCAAACCATACAATACAAAACAACAAAACTAAATGGAATATTATGCTAAAACATATGCCAAATAGCAAATATAACTCTCACAAGCATTTCATCGAACATGTTTCAAACAAATCCATCAATCCACCAACATAACAAATCCATCAATCCACCAGCCCTTACTACTACTCACACACCAGCACAAACACAAGCAAATCACCAACATACAAGATTCAAAGAGAGTTAAAAAGAGAAGAGAAGAAATGTGTATCGTGACCATGAGGCTTGAAGAGTTGAAGTCTTGGACCTTGGAGAAGAGAGTTAAAAAGAGAAGAGAAGAAGAGATCAAGAGTCAAGAGTCAAGAGATGAAGAAAAGAGAGTTAAAGAGATGAAGAATTGTTGAAGATTTGAAGAAAATATGATTTGAAGAACTGTGGAAGAGAACTAAGGAAGAACCGAAGAGGAGAAGGAGAAAAGAAAATCTTTTAATTCTTGTAACACCCACAGCAAGGTACGTAATTTTATTTATGCCCTAATACCCTTAGTTGGATTTCTTTGAAGTTACTTTAGACAAATGTGAAGAAAAATCCTTAAAACTTCATTAGGGGTGAAATGGTCTTTTCACTCATAATTAGATGAAAAAGTGGGAAGTGAAAGGAAACAAAATAATGTGAAGAAGATAATAAAATGAGGGTATTATGGTAATTGACTAAAGGATATAGATGAAATTTCATATAAAGTGCAAGGGCAAAATGGGAATACATGGTTATAATATTCACCCAATTTTCTCTCAATTTTCTTTACTAAATTTCAAGGGGAAATCATAGGATTTGGCTTGGATTTTTATAGATTTTCAATCCTAAAGTATACAAAGGTAAGATTCTAACACAAGAGAGTGTGATTAAACTTTAAAGTTTTAAATTCTTATGGTTTTTATATGATCTAGATCCAAGAGGGAGAGACTTTTAGCAAAAGGGAGATTATATCACACATTCAAGGTAAGTAAACCCAATTTTAGCCTTGATTTGAGCAAGACTTGTGTAGAATGATTCTTGCATGTTTGTATGTGAGAATTGTCTGTTTTTTATGTTGAATGATGTATAATTTCCAGCCATGAGAAGTAGTGCTTGAGTTTGTGATGAATTGGTGGAATTATGGAAGAATTAGTGTTGAAATTGGCTAGGTTTATGGCTATAATTAATGAGTTTTTGCTCAAATTTTGGTGGATTTAGAGAGATGTGGAAGTGTAGCCAACTTAGTAGCTGCATGTGTATATGAATTGTTTGATAAAAATCCAAAAAGAAAATGCATGCATGAGCTGGCTAAACCCTATTGAAGAAATGGTTAGAGAAGGCAAGAATTGAAGTAGAAAGATTATGTTGGGCTTAAACAATTATAAATGTTAATATTCAAGAGTGCATATTGTTATGCCAAAATTTAGAATATCGCTTGGTCATGTTAGTTCCATGAGATAAATGGCCCTTAGTGCTTGGTTCTAGTTACTTGAACCTTTATTACTTCTTAAATAGTACATGAAAGTGTTAGAAAAGAATTGCATGTTAAAGTGTCACTTTGATATGACATTTGTGATAGTAGAGAATGGTAGAATATGTCATGACATATCATTATGTCATAATGAGTTTTCAAGTTTGTGGATGTGAACTTGGAAAGAATATCACAGAATGGGCTTGATCATGCATATATTATGCATATGATTTATTTATATATAGCCTTGATTTGGTAAATGAGAATATTAAAGAAAATGTTAGTAAAGAATAAGAAAAGAAAGAAAGAAAATGGCTTATAGATTCTTTTAAAGTTAACATGCAAATATGTATATTTTCTCATTTACTAAAGAATGCAAGTGTAGAATTTCCATAGCTTGCAAATTCATTTAGAAATGTGTATAGTATCTCTTTCTATTCTCTTTCTACAGCATGTTATGTTATAAGATTGTTGCGATGGGGAACCCGTGAGTGACAGAGATGCAGAAAATTCCCACATACAGGCCGCCATCAATGAGCAGCCTCAGCATAGCAGAACAGAATTTGTATAGTCTGTCAGCAGTGTATGTGGATGAGGACTGTACCTAGCAGAAAATACCTACATGCACGCCACCATCAGTGAGCGGCCTCAGCATAGCATAACAGAATTAGTACAGTCCGTCAGTAGTGCATGTAGATGAGGACTGTACCCAATATACACTCACATGGCCAAGGTTCCAAATCCATGCCTCAACCTAGTCCGATCGGCAAACTAGAACAGAAAAAAAAAAAAAAACAAAAAAGAAAAGAAAGAGATACGGAAAAGAAAAAAAAGAGATACAGCATAAGAGACAAAAAACAGAAAAGAAAAGAAAATTCTTTTCTCAGAAAAGTTTATTATTCTACATATGTA